TACCGAAGCATAATTTTCTGTGATATTAAGAAGGTTAGTAGGCGTATTTTATCTGTTGACATAGTCAACAGTGCGGAGTCATGCGCGATATTTCAGGACAACGAAAACGCCCATTCGTGGATCAATGTGATAAACCATTTTAATGGTACACGCTTGCTCCTCGGTGTGTGAAGAGAGAGAGAGGAATTCGCTTTACTGTAAAATCGCATGTTCAAAATTTTCGGCGAAAAATTAGCTCCGTTCACTATGGGCAGTAAATAAGTTAAGATATTTATTCAAGAGTCAAAGAAACGATTATAGTAGGGATAGTTCAAGTTATAGCTTTATTATTTTCATCTCTTCGCACGTAAGATAGCGCGCTAGGAATGGCAATAGAGAACCTCGATAAGCCGATGTGCGACAGGATATATGTCGGAAGCTGCGACGCAGCGGGCGGGAAGACTTCGCAGACATAAGTTCAGAATGTAAGGGATGGGCAACGTCATCTAGAATTGGACCAGCAAATTGCTTGACCGCATTGAAGTGTCGTTTTAAGATAGTGTTAACTAAAAAAGATAAGAAACACTAGCAGCAGAAGAGAGCACGCGGAGGACTCGTTTCAAAATTAAAAGATCCTTTTTTAGCAAAGCAGGAAAAATGACTGGATAGCAGTAAAGGATAAGAGGAAGAATACAGACATCAATGAATCGCCAGACTAAGGGTTGAGGTGTGTGGTAGGAACGTAAACGACGTACGTAGTAAAGGGGTTTACGAACTGTAATAAATAGGGACTCAATATGGAGGGAAACTGAACGATTTGAAGACAAAGTAACGCCGAGGTACCTGAAAGGGGATACTTCGTTAGGAACAATGTCAGTGGAATCAGGATTAGGAAAGGGCCGCATTCGAAAAATACACTGAAAGGATTTTTGGTTGTTAATTAGGAGACCATTTTCCTCCGACCACGCTAGGACATGGTTTAGGCCATCCTTTAGAGACCGGAGGTGCGTCTGACTTTTGAGAGGGTGTCCAACAACCACATCATCAGCATACTTGACCCAAAGACAGTCGTTAGGTGACCTTAGCTCGTCAGTGTGGAGGGAGAAAATGTGAAGGAATAGAATGGACCCTTGAAGAACACCGCAGTCATTGGGAAGGGTCGAAGATTTCCGTTTGCCAGATTTGACAAATTGAGTGCGGATGGTAAAATAATCTCTATGCCAGGAGACGACCCAGCCTGGAGAGCCGCATGTGGTGGGTTTGGTAAGGAGAAAAGGGCGCGGGACGGTATTGAATGCGGAGGAGTAATCAAGAAATGGGCATTTTAGCTGTTCGAACGTAATACATACCACTACTTTATTATCATATTTCATTTTTGTTGACGCCTTGAGGACAGGTGTTTTATTAAGCCACACGCTGTATTGCATTTCGGCAGGGGATCATTGCCGTGATACTAACAAAAAGCCCACATTTGTTAACTTTTTAGCCCTAACACCTTGTCCAAGTACCGGAGGAAATTTGCGCCTTGCCGACATCCTACTGTATCGACTCCGCCGGAAACCTGCGTTTAGTGTACACAAACCGCACGTTGGTGGTATCCAGACAAACTTACACAGCCGTGTTTTATCTGAACCAATAATACATTCTTGCTATGTTGTATACCAAGCGGTCGATGCATACGTCTTCAGATTGGCATGCAATGCCACATTTTCTCACATGAACATCCATTTGCTTCACGGAGTAAACACTTTTACTTGATTTTTTATTGCTGCCTTACATTCAAAAACATCTACTTACACTTTGCGCACAGAGGGCATGAATACAAGGATTAAAATAGTTAATGAATAAACTCTAGCAGGACACTTCTGTAGGTTATTTTGATAAAAAAACCTAATGTAGTCAATAATGATAGCTGAACTCGATTAGATCTGAATATGGCTAGAGTGGAAATTTAAAAAGCAGATGGCATTTTTATGTTAGATGTGGTTTTCAGTAATTGCATATATTATTCTGGAACAAATTAGCCACTGGGGTTAAATACTTTGGCTGTTCGCGAAACCCAGCGTCCGTCACTTAGGAAACGCAGCATAAAATGCCGACATATGCTTAACTGTTTTACGGTTTACACCTGGCATTTATATAAATTTCTCTCAAACTATGAAAGTGAGACGAAGTTGAAAGGCATCTGTATCCGCCGAGTATTAATAGACATGTGTTGGATTATGAGCAAGCTGTAATTTTTTCCTGTTTACATTGTAGGTGACAGTGAATCCTATCATAGAACTGATAACTCAGTCTGCAAATATGGACCAATTCACCTTTAACGTGGAAAATGCGTACGCGATTGCGGACTTCCTGCTTGTTTCCAGTGCACTGGCTGAACGCAGCGTATTGCATTTTACCGGATTCATTTTCAATGGCCTTCGGCGTAATGTCTACAGAAAGGGTTGGAAGACACTATCACCGTGGAAGCAAGAGGCACTGCGTTCCCTGGATATTCTTGTGTCTGAAGCGTCCGCCATTTCATTAGCCACCTCATGTTCCACATGACTAATATCCTCCATACGAATCAGAACGATTGTCAGGCCGTGCCAGCTGTATTCTGCCTTGCAGCATGTGCATTCTTGGTCAAACACCTTTTTTAAAAGACACTATACACATTTCGTCGCATACGCTCCCTTTTTAAATGTTTTTGGTTGTTAATAAAATGAGAAATTCAAAGATATAATTGTTGTTTCAAAAAGCTGTTCAACCAAAGATTTTAATCATATATATGTGCCTTGTTGGCCTACGGTAATAGTAGATATGCACTGCGTTTGCCTCTGTACCCAGTGTCATGGCACATTCACGAAGACCGGAGGCGGGAAGGGTCGCACATTTCTGGCAAAGCGTACCAACGCACACACTGGTCGCGATAAGCATTTGGCCGGGGCTTCACGCACTTCAAAAAAACAGCAGAACTACTTTTAGCGACAGCCATTGAAGCCTCACTCTCCGTCCACCAGTCGGCCACCACACACACACACACACGACAGTTCGACCGTCGATTTCGACGATGTCCACCGTGTGCCCCACAGCTGCAGCAGCGGTGGGAGCTGGGACGGTGACTTGCGCAGG